TGAATCTGAAGAATGCAGAAGAGGATAAAGAGTTGGTAAGTTTCGTTATCGATGTTAGATTCATTTGGGTATCAAGAGTGCAGATATAACAAGAATTGAAGAATTGAAAACGACAAAGTTACGAGTATAGCATTGTTAGTGCCAAAGCCAAATTCAATTCTTCAATCTAACTTGTCATTAACTACGTACATTTCAGTGCCTTGAATCATAATTTCATATAGTTTCCACTTGAGTTCTAATTTATTCAGTATTTTCTTCCAGTCTGTTGGATATTTGCAACTACGAGTTGATGAAATGAAGCCGGGTCTTCTCGCTATTGGAGGATCTAGTGAGGAAGCAGCTGCTCTGCTTCAAATTCATGATGATTTAATGGCTCGGCTTAAGGTAAAAAGCATTTATAGCATTTTTGCTAAAAAGTCAAAGCATGTATTTCTGTTACTTGCAGCCAACCTTTTCTTGTCATGAACATGGTTGCAGTCCATTCACTGCCTTATTACCTTTGCCGTAGAAACACTAAGAGCATTATCCAAACGAGATGTTTTTTAGATTTGCGGTAGTTAAGAAAACAGAACATTAAAACTAATATTTAAAGCTCAGCGCCTGTAAATTTTTTCCGTCTCGAGAAGTTTCATTGTTTATTCCTTAGTTGAAAGTCTTGCTCCTCATAACTATCTAATTGGACAGCAAAATGGCTAACTACTAAGTTTGAAGATGGCTTATATGGAATGTGTGGTGCAGTTACCTGTTCTTCCATCAAATTCTTGCCTAATGAGTGATGATGTTCTAGTAAAGGGAGCTGAAAATAGAATCCAGACAATTCTAACCTTTGAGTTTTATTGGATAAAGTTCATTGCTTTTTCTTAATATCTTGCTTTTTGGAAAATCAATATAGAAACAAGCTCCTTCCATAGGTTGATCCAGTTAAATGAGGTATATCGCAATATTGTAACAATATCGTATTGCATTAGGTTGCAGGATCATGAGTATCGAGGTTGATCTTTGAGTTGTCTGTCATCACTGCGATTGCACTAAGAATAGCTCTTGAGCACACTGGCCAGCTTTAGAATATACTAGAACGTAAAGGTATCATCAAAACGCCCGACTTGATTTCAAAGCGAGGCCGGTGTATTCACATCCCGCTAACGTTTTTTCTGCAACATCCGAATCAAATCTCTCAACAGCGTTTGAACGATGTGCCATGCGAACTAATTAAATAAGCTGTTAGTACTGATATCTGTGAGGGCTGCTTTAATAATTCAATCCTTATCATATCAATGGAATGTGTAGATGATAGGTAATAACAACCTTTAAGAAACAAAGCAGACTTATATTTCACATCATGATAAAGATAGATTTGGTTCTAGGCAACCTTGTGCACCTGTCTCTTGAAATCTTGTCCAACAGAGGGTAAAAAATGTGTTTCTTATCTGTTCAGTTCACTGTGATGCTTTCATAAATCATCTTAAATGAAGCAACTTTCTAGAAAACATTTCTTCATTTTATGTCAAGGGTATAGGGCATTGGTAGCGCCTACTAAATATAGTGATAAGGTATCAATTAGACTGCGAAATCGTGATCTTGATAGTAACTCCAAATAAAATTATGAGGTGTGAAGATAAAAGAAATAACTGAAACTGAAGCGAAGAAAAATAG